CACAAAGGAATGACCAAGAAAAGCAATAAAAGAACCAACCCAAACAAATTAAAACGAACAGATCAGTTCAAGCACTTTCTAGTAGGAATTGACTTGACTATTCCTTAATGCAGTAGGATTCCTAACTTAGGAAGGAATAAACAAAATTGCTATCTCCTTGTTTGAACAGAACTCAAAGAGAATTTCCAACTCCTTATTGGTGTAGGATTCCTTTTTCTTTAAGGATTTGGCCACATATTTCTTCTTTATATAAGGAATTCCAACCACAGAATTGTGTTGCTTGTTTCTCTCTCTCCTTTTTTTTTTCCATCTTTTTTTTTAGCGATCCTCTTCCCTTTTTTTTGTGTATGACTTCTTCCTTTTTCTTTTTTTCTTTTACTTATTTTCGTGCTTTCTCTCTCTCTCTCTCTCTCTCTCTCTCTCTCTCTCTCTCTTTTGAACCAACAACACAGATTCAGAAGAGCAAAATAAGAAATAGAAGAATGGCACTAAATTTTTTTTTTGTTTTGTTTTTGACAATAAAAACTGAAAATTAAAGATACGCAAACCTGATTTAGGATTTGATGCTCTGATACCAAGATCATGAGAACCCCAAAGAGAACAATGAGACCCACAACACAACAAGGGATTTCTAAACTCCAAGAAAGCCAAATAGGACCTTGACCCGTTATGTCGCAACAAGAACCAAAGGTAAAAACCTTGACCCGTTGTCTATGACGTAACAAGAACCTGAGGTATAGAGTTGGTTGACGCCACACCCTCGAATGATTAAGAACGAGAATGATAAGTCAAGTTAGAATGCCACAAGAATAATCTTGATAAGTTCTGTAAAGTTCTGAAACGAACCAAAGAGAAAAGTCTCTCAAAATCTCAGATTCAATCCCCCAATTAGTGTTACAAGCCTTTTAAATAGGGAAAAGTAATTCTAATCAGAATAGGAAACTAACACCCTAAGCCCTAAGCCCTAAACCCTAATCCTAATAACCACGAATTGGGCCTCAAATAAATGAATGTTCAGCCCAAAATAATACAAAAAACGTGAAAATCACTGAAAGTAAGTTAAAGGAACATGAAATATTAGTTTGTTACAAATTGCAACAAAATTGCGGGATTTTGACGCAAATTGTGTAATTTAGCTTAAATGACCTCAATTAAGCTTCTCTTGAATCTTTATGATGTTTACCATGCCTTGATAATCATCCAAGCTTCGATTTACTTGTTGCATGTTGTTATCAACCCAAATCTGCTCAATAAGGCCATTTAAAGCTTCTCGCATCTTCCTAGCTCTAGCTCTCACGACTGGACCTCCTGGAATGTGTAATAGATCTCTTGATGTGGTACATGTGGGGTCATCTTGATTCCCATCACCTTTAAATAGAGAAAAGTAATTCTAATCAGAATAGGAAACTAACACCCTAAGCCCTAATCCTAATAACCACGAATTGGGCCTCAAATAAATGAATGTTTAGCCCAAAATAGTACAAAAAATGTGAAAATCATTGAAAGTAACCTAAAGTAACATGAAATATCAATTTGTTACAAATATGATAGAATTGTAGGATTTTGACGCAAACTATGTAATTTAGCATAAATGACCTCAATTGAGCTTCTCTTGAATCTGAATGATGTTTACCATGCCTTGATAATCATCCAATCTTTGATTTACTTGTTGCATGTTGTTATCAACCCAGATCTACTCAATAAGGCCATTTAAAGCTTTTCGCATCTTTCTAGCTCTAACTCTTGGGATTGGACCTTGTGGAATGTGTAATGGATCTCTTGATGTGATACATGTGAAGTCATCTTGATTCACATCAGTTTGGGTATGAGCTCTATTTGGTATTTAACTTAAAATTTTTCAACTATAGTTTTTTAGACTTCGTATTTACCTAAATACTCGAGGACCTATATTTGGTTTAGGTACCAAATAACTTGCAAGTATTTTCTTGTGTACTTGGTTTAAGGAAAGAAGAGGCCTTGTGATTCATCAAAAAAAAAAAAAAAAAAGAAGGAAAAAGATGCCTTTGTATGAGTTGTTAGTGCTATTTGTGTTATGTATTTTGCTTAGCGTTTGTTACTTATGCAAGATGCTATTACTATATATGTAATTTGTTTAACATACAGGCTTTACTTTTACTTTTACTTTTATTTCTATATTTATTATTTTTATTTTTAATTACTATTATTATTATATAAATATTAAGTATAATAAGTGCAAGTAAAATTTTAATTATATAAGTACGACTAATAAGTCAATTAAACAAGTTAGTTAAATAAGTCGGATAAACATTTTTGAATCCCTAAATTTGTTATTTAACCTAATACTTATGAATATACTGCTTCCATTACTTAATTTCTTTATAGTTCAAATATGGTATTACCCGAATGGATAACATGCTTACAAGTAATGGGTGTACCCGTACCCAATGGTCACCTTTATCAAAAAGGCAAGCTTCTTTAAGGTATTGATCTTAACCTTCTCCAACCGTCAATGTATTCACAAAGATCCTAGGTGAGTTAAAAGCAAACAAGATTTAATTTTTGAAAATTTTCACTTTCACTGCTACTTCCTAAAAACCCAACACTAACAACTCTTCAAGCTAAGGTTCATGGGCCCTTAAGAACTTAAACTCAAGTTGTTAGTAATTGTTAGTCTCTATTATATACTATTCAAACTCACACTTCCATTCTATTGTGAGATTTTGGGAGTCACTAACTCTGAATAAATCTATTTATTACTCAAGTATGAATCCGTAAACATTTTGAACTACTTCATATGGAGATAATTATTATTGATAAAAACATATTAAAGAAGATATATTATTTTTTTCATATCTTGAATATACTCTAAAAATAGCAATCTCAAGAAGGCTATTTTAACAAGTACATTCAAAGTAAATCATCTCTTTTTCTTACCAACAAAATTATGGATTTTTTATGAAAAAATCATCGATCAAAACCATTGGTTTGCTTTTATTCCCTACTAAGAATGTGATACAAAAGAATGAGAAGAGAAAAGGTGAAAAAAAAATTACTGAAAAACATTAATATGGATATACATTTGTAATAAACAATTTGATTTTAAATTTTAACATATAATTTCCATTTTGAGAATATTAAGAAAAGGTATCTCAAAAAATTGAGAAATCTAAAACACATCCCAGCATGGGGATTATGAATTAGGAAGGAAAATTTTTAAAGATCAAGTCTCTTCACTAAGGAAAAATTTATTACAAATGAGCAGATGAGATGGATGATGCATCTGTGACATGGACATGAGTATTTTTATAATAGTATTTCTAATATGGGGAATTATATCCCAAAATTTGAGATTCACATTAATCTCATATAATGTCTTCCAATGTAAGGATTATGTATGGATGGATAAATACTTTGGAAAAGGGCATTCTATTATTAGTGATGAAATCAATAATGAAGAGTTGATAAATTGTGTAAGGCATTGTTGCTATATAATAAAGGTATAATGGTGTGTAAGTGGCAAATAAATATGGCATGCATGTACTTTTATCATACAAAAGGTATAATCATTCAATAGGATTTGAAGATTCGTATGTCACTTTGTATATGTGTTATATGGACAGTGCAACTTCACTTATCATTTAGAAAAATTAAGAAAATTTTTTCCCAATTACAGTTAGCATGAAGCTAATGTGATATTTGGTATTATAAACTTGTTTGGAAAGTCTAAAGAGCTTGAATTTTGTCTTAATTATTGAAGGCTCCTAAAGGGCTTCGATTTTGTATCTTGGAGAAATAAAATTTTTAAATATGTGACTACTTGTATTCTAATAAGTTATGTTGAAATATAATATATATATATATATATATACATAAATATAATAAAATCAAATATTGAAACTAACCAAAAGTTTATCTTAAAATTTTAGTCTTTTGGCCTAATTGACTTGGCCCTTTGAGTGTAATAATAATACAAAAAACTTGAAGGTTCTTTAATCAAGTGATTTTTAATGTATTGCATCCCTATGGGAACATGATTACTAAGCTTCTAAAAATGATATTAGAAAAGGATCTCTTGTATTGTTATATTGGATTCAAGGAAATACATAAGCATATTTTCAATTATTTGAAATATTTTGATATATTGGATTCAAGGATCCACTTATGACCTAGGGCCATGTGGTTTCGGATGACCTTTTCTATCATAAAGCACAATTGTTCTCAACCTTATTAGCTAAATACATAAAAGGTGAGATTTTATTAATCATTTTTTAGGTCAAATATCTCCCAAGTTGGAGAGTTTTTAATGATTTTTCAACTCACTTCAAAATCATTGCAGAGGGAGTAGTGCTAAGATAGTGGCCAACACCAAACCATGGGCCTCCAGCCTAAGAAAAAGCCCATTATATGATGAGCCTCACAATAGGAAGGCCATTCATATCAAGACAAGTGGACACATGAGACGGTTTCATATGGCAACGATGTCATAAATGAAGTTATAAATACCCCACAACTATCATTAATGGAGTTAATTAGTCTCCTAAACATTTTCTCTCTATTCTCTAGATGAAACTCTTTCTCTAAAGTTCTTACATTATTGCTAACTTGGGATCAAAGTGTCTTTCTCGAAGGACCATCCTTAGGCTTTACAAGTCATCCAAAGACACCAACATATCATTAGTAACTTCTCAGCAATGACACAAGTGTAAATGATCCTTTAATTGAAATTGCCATTATTCTATGCAAATACTCATATATTTTGATGCTGTTAAAACTAACCACTTTAAGGTGTTACAAGCAATTTAGTTATTAGGTGCATCATGAATCACATGAGAGTAATGGGCAAGTTAAGATAGGATTCATCTCTCTTGAGTTTATGAGAGAATATATCTTTAACCTTTTGATTGAGATAAGACTACTTACAAAGTCCATGGTCATGGCATGAATGAAGGTTCATTCAAGAAGCATGTCTATCTTGGGAATCAAAGAAAAATACACCAAACTTTAAGGATGATGACACAGAGCATGCATCTTGCTTAATGGAGATGTTAGTGACAAAGGGATTGAATTACATAAGTACATCAATCATAGGAAGGTTCGTAAAGACCATTGACTCTTTTTGTCATTTTGGGTGGCTATGATGTGTTAGTAGATACCACTCTTGGTTTGTAAGTGTTTCTCACTACCATTGTGATAGAAACCTAGAAGGGCACACATTTAATGCATTATGAGAATTGGGATTTATATGTAAATCTAAGTTTGTGGATATAGATTAATTTATGTGAAAATAATATTTTAACAAGAAAAATAAATAAATTACGATCTAGAATAATTTAGTAGAAAGAAGTAATTTAATCTAATTAAGTTAATCTAAGTCTGGATTTGTTCTAAGTTAACGATAATAAAAAAAATATCTAAAGTGGCAATTAAGTCCTTAGAGGCCTATATAACCAAAACCCTAGCCCATTGGGTTTAGGGCTTGAGTAGCATAATGGCTTGGAGTCTTGGCTAAAATTCCTAGTCCACATATTGCATTAGGGTGTGTAGCAAGAAAGGGAAAAAAAAAAAAAAGAAAAAGAAAGAAAAAAACGAGGAAGAAAAGTCTTCTCCGTATGTGTTTTTTATTATGACTTTAAAATTAAATTTGACAATTCTAATTGGATTAGAATAGAAAATTTTCTATTCTTATTAATATAAATAGGCATGGAAAACACCCTAAATCCCTAATGGTGGATTTTTCCATTGTAGGATTTTAGACCACAAGAATCATTCGACCAAAAACCCAATGGAGAACAAACTGATTTTTTGATTGCTAATAGTCTTCTTCAAATCTCCAAGCTTTTTCTTCAAATCCATAAGCGTCTTCTTCAAATCCCTAAGTGTACATGTGAATTACTACTAGAGAAACTCTACACTTGGATTTTTGGATGGCTTCATTGCAAAATGATGGTTAAATCTACACATCAATAAGGCATGCATCGTTAAGGTATTGATTATAAAACCTTCCTTAATCTTCAATGAATTTATGAGCATCCCAATTGAGTTGAATAATTTTTCGCTTCTACTACGCCCTCCTAAAGCCAACAGCTTCTTAGGTGTGATTGTTTGTTCCAAATGAAGGAGGGCCATTACCATCCACCATTAGAGTAGGGGTTTTGATGCCTTAATTGGCATCAAGCGCCTCAAAGGTAACCAACTACGATATTTGCAAGGAGTTTCCATCTATCAATGTATCCCAAGAACTTTTTGTTGTAGCCTCAATATTATTTTCTAACAACATAGGATGAGGGAGTGGTTGAAGGGGAAGAGGAGATATTAGGTTGTCCTTGATCTTGTGTGTGCTTCGAGCAAGGGAATCTTGTTCTTCCACAAAAGGAAACAAGTCAAGAAAGGGTCCGCCATCTCTTGGTTTGATTAGTTGATAATCAATAAACAAATAACTATCAAAAAAGACTTACCATCTTGACCAAATAAATAAATAAATAAAGACTTAGCATATGCCAAGTCCTAAAATTAGCTTGGCACAAAACCTAATTTGACCATAATAAAGTCTTAATGCCATGATCTGTTGATTTGAATAAAAAAAAATTCAATTTTTTTTAGTAAAGTTTCTAGTTTGAATCTTATGAGTAGAAAACAAACATTGAGTGAGCTTCTCTTATGAGATCTAATGCAGATTGATTTCAAATTAATTAAGATCTAATGTGATTTTCAAATACTGAGAGTTTGGTACAAAAAAAAAAAAGTCCTAATACTGTGGGAAATAGGAAAACTAATATTAGCTTAAAGTAACACCTAAATAATCAAAAGCATATGGTGGAAAGAAAAAAAAAAAAAGTATATGGTGGCCTAAAAACCAAAACCAAAAAAGAACAAAAGAAAAAACAAAACAAAAGCAAATAATAACCCTAACGTCGACGATTCTTCCGTAGGTTCTTGTTCCGCATCACCCCATAACCATGCCTCAAGCTTCAGTACTGCAAATCCGAATGGTATATTCATAAAATTGCTTCTAGGTCTAAATACCACATGCAGTCACCACTCTATGACAGAGTTCAAGACAAGCAGTCAACAATAAAATATTTGATACATTAGCAACGGAAGACAATATTTAAAAGAGTTCCACTACATTCCCACTTTAGTTCAATTTAGAGTAAAATAAATTCACTGTTCTGCAAGAAGTGACATAACTTTACCACTTAGGATAGACCATCATTACTTCCCATATACTGATGCCAGAAATTGTCTTTTCTTAACCTAGGTTGGAGCTGCAAGTTCAGTCCAAAGTGACTGATTATTCCAGTTTAGGATGTCATATCCGCATCCGTTTGACATCATTCTCGGGAACACTCACATCGCCACCATTTCCTCCGACTGAATTGGCTGTTTGTCTCTGCACATGATAAACATGATCAGCTAATTACTTTAATCAATCAACCAGAGTGGCATACACCAGACTCTTGTAACAGAAAATGAAGATTTAACTGCTTCAAGGTTTTGATATTGGAGGTCTGAAAAAGAACCTACAGTTTCATCAGGAACTACAGCGTATCTCTCTGTTGGGGAGACATAGGATTTCCCTGCCAAGAGAGCAAAGAAATGCTTAACAAAATTGAATGATGCAGATAAGGGAAAAATACATTTATTAGGATTTTATTATGATTATGAATATATAGGAATTAAGTGTTAATATTACTAATAGTTTATATTTATTAGGATCTACCATTATCTTTCAATAAAGATTCAATTGCGAGTCTAATTAGTAAGTCTAATTTGGGTTTCTAGCTTTTATATTTAAGCGTAAGTTGTATTAGGGTTATTCAATTGAAGGGTTTATAAATTGAAATTATCATCTAGAAATCCCTAATTCTGCTATTCTCCTCTCACCCTTGCTTCTGTTTCTAAGTTCTATCCTCACCTTTGCTTCCAGTTCTACATCATTGAAGCTATCAACAAAACCACAATATAGCTTTGGAAAATGGATATGTAACATAGTTGCACAATCACCTGATGATGGATTGACTTTTGAAGGTTCTATCTGTTGCCCACTGGACCCATCCATACTCAATGACTCAATAATCTTTGGAATATTCCTTCAACAAGTACGAATGCCATAGTCAGGTCATTGAAATAATGCAAACAAAATGAGCACATGATTTCAGTTCTCTAACATTTGTTTTTATATTTCAAATTGCTTCCTAACCCAAAAAAAGAGAGATTTCCATGCCTCCCTATCAAGCAGGTTCTCTTATGTCATTATAAGAACTCGACCCTAGATTTTCCACCAGGAGAACAATCTCCCTAAAGAAAATTAGAGCGAACTCATCTTACAAAATCACATGTGACTTCTTTATTCTTTTAATTTTCATTATTTGGTATTACTCATTATGTATTCATTACTAGGTAACAATCACTTATCAAGAAAGGGAAGACTAATTTTTCCAAGAATATTACTGTTTATACTAGTATGCAGTTACAGCCATACCAATCCATCAGTTCACCGTGCCCAAGTTGTCCATTTGTACCTCTGCCCCAGGAAAATACATTTTGTCTTTCAGTAATAGCAAGAGAGTGCCTCCATCCACATGAGACCTGAACTACTTTCTGCAAGTGAAGCAAAGCAAAGCAGAAAAAGAGAAAGTAAAGCCATCAATCAGAAGCTAAAATGAACTCCTATGGAAGATAATGTTAATGTCAGCCAAGAGAATGTGCCTGCTCAAGAGGAAATTTAACTTGCATGGGAGAACAATGATCAACGTTATCAGCAACTCCAACCTGTCCAAACTGGAAATAAAATATAGCCAGAAAAGCAAGTCAAACAAGCACAATTTATAAAAGATGCAATAGATAATACAAATAACAGATAAATACAATTAAGCAATCATTTTTTTGCCATTGAATTAGGCAACCGTTTAAAGGGGAAAAGAAACAATAGCAGGGAGTCCACAATCATTCACATTCAATGGCATAAATCTTTAAAGTGTCCAACCTAAAACTAATCTGAAATAGTAAAGAAGCCCAACTTAGTTATACAGCCTCCCGTTTTAACACTTCCCTAAATTTATAGTCTTGATAGATCTTGATAGGTACCTGCCAAACTTATGGACAACAAATGGGGACCAAATTACAAATGTGGCACAAATGAACCTACCTCCAATATGTCATATATGGCCACAAGAAACCCAAATTCTTATTCTTAAGCATGCCCCCAAAAGGGCTTAGTTGATCCATGATCTCTATTTCATGTTTCTTCATCACTTGACCTTAGGTGTGGACCCAGTAGAACAACCAACAGAAATGAACCTAACATGTAGATGATGATATGGCCAATTAACAAATGGCACAACATTTGATAATATTATGTCAAAACATCTAACCTAAAACTAAAAGCCCAACTTATTTATAAGAGCTTCCCACTAAGCAATATTATTGAAAAAATCTTATAAAATACCAAAAATATTAAGGTATCCTCAGTTGTTGTGTCTAGAGGCTACATGTGCATCCATATGCAGTCACCATGTATATATAGGAGTAAAAAACAGATCGCACAAATTGGACAATCTCAACCGAGGCGCATGAAGGAAGATAAGAGGAGAAAATTTTCTTTCACAAATTCATCCTTGCAGCATCTTATGTGGAGATTTAGCGATTTTAATTATTCTTGTTCTTGTTTTGTAGAACCACTATCAAAAGAGAAGATAGAAACTAAATCCTCAAAGATAGCAAATAGAGGAATTTAGTCTTCTCTTAATTCCATTAGTGTGTGTGTGGATCACTGCTAGAGGTGTTCTATTTTGAGTCCAGGCTTTGGTGGAAACAACAGAAAAGGTGAAATTGATCCAGCAGAAATTGAAGGCAGCTCAAGATAGGCTGAAGGCTTATGCAGATTAGAGAAGAAGACCACTGGAATTTAAAGTGGGAGAACATGTGTTTTTAAAGGTCTCACCTTCAAAAGGCATAAACAGATTTGGCATGAAAGGGAAGCTGAAACTGAGATTTATTGGACCCTTTGAAATTCTAGAAAGGGTAGGGGACGTAGCATACAGAATTGCATTGCCACCTAAGATGTCTAAGTTACATAATGTTTTTCATATTTAAGTTTTGAGAAAATATAAACCCGATGCTTCACACATCATCAAGAATGAGTCTTTACAACTTGGGAAAGATTTGAGTTATGTTGAGGAACCAATACAGATTTTAGAAAGGAAGGAGAAGGTGTTAAGGAAAAAAGTTATTTCTATGGTTAAAGTTTTCTGGAAATACCATACTAAGGATGAAGCCACTTGGGAACTGGAAGAGCAGATTAGAAAACAGTATCCTCAGTTGTTTTCTGGTAAGAACAGATTTGGAGATCCAATCTTTTAAGGAGGGAAGGATGTGATATCCCAGTCTATACTTGCAATTAGTTAAAGAAAATAGGTCCTTATTTGCATTAAGTCTAAGTTAGAGTCCTTCATCTCCTTTAGAATTAAGAACTAATCTATAATAATTGTTAATTATGGGGTTTGCTTATTATTTTAATAACTGCAGACCAGGTGTCTATTTAGGGAGATTTAGTGCAGTCTAGCTGTCCATAAGCTGTTAAAATAAGTAACAGTGGTTGGGTGAGAAGTGGGCCGGGGAGCATTTAAGACCCACTTGACCGAGACTTCTTGAGCCATATCACTAAATTAGCTATTTTTTTGTATTCTGTCTATAGCTGGACCAAAAGAGAAGGAGAAAGAAGGTGCAAATAGGCTGGGCAAACTTGGAGAATCTTGAAGAATTCTGTCAAGCTCAGGATTTTGAAGAAAGTGTGTGGTAAGTGTGATTCTTAATTTTAAGTTAAGGTTGTCAAACAAAGTTTAAAGGTAAGTAAAACAATAGAATAAGCATAAGAAATTAGGCTGCTGCAGTTTAAATTATATAACAGAAAAGAGAAATAAATACAGTAGTGAGTTGAACTAGAAATCTCTTATGCCTAAACTGTGAAATCTTTACAGTTCAAGTTGTGAGATTAATGTGTTATGTGTATCACCTTTTCTAGACTATGTCCTGTGTATTTGACCTGGACACTTCATTATAGCCTATTTCTATTAGTTCTACAGACTATATTAAGTAAACATTGAAAATTGTTATGCATGATTATGTGCTATATATGGTGCTGTTATGCAATTGTCTTAGAACTATGGAGAGTTTGGACCCCAGCCCAGGCTTGGGGGTTTAAACAGTGAATTAGTGAACTTCTGCACAGTGGGTAAGTGCTATGATTAGTTCTAGCACCTAATGTGAGTACATGCACATTCAGTGGACTCCATAGTTTGTGTTATTTCTATTTTGATGTGCTGTGTCTGTGTGATCATTTGTGGCTGCAATGCCTTAATTTTCTACAAGGTTGGTACAACTAAGAACTAAAGGAATTTTTCTGCATAACATACTAAGATTAGATTGTCAACTTAAGATTTAGAATTATGCTTACTAGCTGTGAGCTCATGCTGTTTTTCCCACCCTTTCAAATAGTAGCAGTGAAGAGTAGCTATTATCCTTAAGAATTTTTGTGGGTGGAGGTCCTATGCTAACTGTAAGTTATGCTTCAAATATCAGTAAGGCAAATCTATATCTACCCAAAACTTCCATTCATTAGGCTCTATAATTTTAAACCTATTTTGTACTGTATTGAGCCTAGGAATAATATATAAAATGAACATTTTGATTTTATAGATATTTTCTATGCTTTTCTTCCTTAGTTGTGCAGTACATCTCCCTACTTGATAAACCTCTAGTTTATCAAAAAGGGGATGTTACATATATGTTATATAATTCCTAACCAGATCTCATAGTAATGCATAGACACGAGATTTTTGGGTCGATAATTGTCTATCAAGTGTTTGTAAAATTGTCTGACCTAAGTAGGATTTTTGTTTCTATTTTACTTTTTGTTTTCGGCCGGATATAGCAATTTTGTTCTAGTCAGTTTTTGCAATTTATTGTGTACGTATGGGTGAGCTTTGCTCCTAGGCCAGGTACATGATCTCCCTGTTTTTGGGTAAACATATGGGTGTCTTTGTTCAATAACTTTTTGGCTACTTTTCCAAGAGGAAGCATTAGTGGGTTACCCAATTGTTGCAAGTTTGTTTGGGAACTTTAGTCCAACAAAGTTCAATCAAGAACAAATTTGATAGTATGAACCAAAGATGGTTTTTTTTCTTTTTTTTTTTTCCAAAGTAAGAGCAAATTTGGTAACCTTTTGCTGAATTATGAATGTTTCGTGATGAATAGTAGTCCCATTACATACTACCTATTGATGTTTTTGTTAGAGTAAGGTTGTGAAAAGGATAAATTAGAAAGAATCATGTTCTTCAATATTTTATCTAAGTACTATAAATATTTAAACCCATTTTTGTTGGAAGCTTATGATTTTTTTTTTTTTTTTCATTATATATCACCAATGACAGCATTTACATGACTGTATAATTACAGTTATCAAATGAATACCGTGCTAGAGTTGTAGGTTTGCCACATAGAGGGGGCAATCAAGATTTGGTCAATTGTATACCAAAAAGGAGAAATGAGTGATTCTAGTAGTTCATAATACATGTTTTTCTTTTATTGATTCTTGTATGTGTGGTTGACTAAAAGCATTACAGAACAACAATCCATCCTGTATGTTTATTTTTAAGCTGACTAAAGTCTGGTACTTGGTTTAGTGATTGGGCTATTTGGTTCATGTGTCATTTGAAAAGCTCTCTTTGGAGGAGCTATATGAGTCTTCATTTTAAGTGTTGTCTTTGTCATTCATGTTAGAACTTCAAATTTGTTTGTGCATACAAAGAATTAGCCAGCAAAATGGGAACCCTCCTGTCTTGCCTTTTGAAGGGATGGTGATAGTGATCTTGGCACAAGTTTACAATATGGTGGTGATCAAAGCAGCTTTGTTTAGAGGAATTAACAAATATGTCCTTATTGTCTAATCTAATTTCAAGTCAACCCTTATTCTTATTCCTTGCTCCTCTGTGTTCAACATGTCTTGATTATCACCATCTCCTTTCTCATTCCTTACTGGAAATTTTGTCTGAAAATCTTTATGAACAAGTAATGAAAGTGGAAGGATTTGACAGAACTACATCGGTTTCAGCATTAGTTTACTTAATGGAGTGCAAAAAGTTAGCAAGGACTTGTATGGCAATGAGCAATGAACTTAAGAAATTGTGACTTCAAAATTTTAGGAAAGCATGAATTCCTTGCCATTTTGGGATTTATTTAACAAGCAATATTTTTTAATGTTATCATCTAGACTTGATAAATTAGTATTTGAATTTTTATTTTGATAGTATGGTAGAAAATTTGAACATGATAAATGTGTGTTTGATTATGTTTTAATATTTTAACCTCAATTTTTAATCTTCAATTAATTAATATTTTGAAAATTTTGAAGATTTTTCTTAGCTTACCAAACAATAGAAAATACTTTCCATAAAACATTTTCCAAAGTGTCCAAATAGCAGAAAATAATTTTTAGAAAAGAAAGCAAGGAAAAATTTTTCAAAATGAAATCATTTTCCGTGAACCAAACAGACCCTTAAACTTTATATTTTGAAAAAAGTGTTGTGCAATCCAAATTGTACAATACTAACCATTAGAACTGGGGCCGCATCCAATGGCCCTATTTTGCAATCTAATGTAGTCCCGGTAGAACAGGGGACTCCTAAATTTTAAGCTCCGTCTATGAAAAATAATAAAAATATAAAAACAATTAAGCCTAGCGTTGGTTTTGTGAGATCTCTCTTCCTATTTTGCCTTGAAAGTTCCAGAACATAATAAACAAAGAAGAGAAAAAGAAGTGCAGAAAAAAATAGAAGGTATAATAAAAAATAAAATAAATTGTAGTATTAGTAGGAGTAAAATAATAAAAATTAAATGCTAGTACGAGAGAAATATAATAAAATAAAGGTAAAAGTGGGGAAGAGAAAAAAGAAAGAATAAATGAGGAGAGAAGATACCTAGAAAAAGAGATAAAATGTGAATAGATCCTAACCACCCATGGTGGCAGGTTGGCCTTGCAAATGCACCACCTACCTTCATGGTATGGACCAGTGTTTTAAAGCCCAGCCCGGTGATCGACCTGTTTTGGTCACCAGGTCCAGTTCAATCAGTTGGACCAATTTAACTGATCAGTTAACAGTCAACTAAATAAATGCTATTTAATTTATTTTATTAATTATAAATTATTTTTACTTTAAGATTGTGTTTGAAAACATGTATTAGTATTTTTTATTTTATCTTTAAAATTGATTGAAATCATTTTTATATTTATTAATCAAAGTAATTATTAATTTTTTAAGACTTTTCAAAATTTATTCATTTGAAATTAATTTTATTTATTAAATTTATTATAATAAATAATATATTTTTCTTTAATAAACATCTAAAACATTGATATCATATTAATTATAATATTATTTTTTCCATATATTGATTTTATTTCCAAAATTGGTTAAAATTAGTTTTAATTTTAAATTAATTTCATTTAATTTTAATTTTAGAAAGATTTCATTCATTTTATTATCAAAAGCAGAAATTGATTTTATTTCCAAAAGTACTTAAGATTAGTTTAAATTTTAAATTGATTTCATTCATTTTATCATATAAAGTAATTATTTATTATTTCCAAAATCGAATTGATTTGATTCTAAAGTAAAAATCATTCTCTAATTTAAAATAGTAATTTAGTTATCACATTTAAAGTAATTTAAAAATTTTCATTCATTAATTGTGATTTAATTTTAAATAGATTTTACAATTTAATCATTATATTATTTATTCATTAAAGAATTAAAAATATAAAAATTAAAGAAAAATGAAGAAATGTAAAAAAAGAAAAAAGAAAAAAAAAGAAAGAGTTGAACTGGTTCAGGGTCAACCAAGTTTGACTGGATTTGGGCACGTTTGACCCGGCTTGGGCAAGCTTGATTGGATCTGAGTGGGTTTTGACCAAATTTAAGGGGGTTTAACTTCAAATGGGCTATTATCATAACTCAGCCTGTTTTTAGAACTGGGTCTAGTTTAACTGTGAACCAACTAGGTCAAGCCGAGTTTCAAAACAGTGGTATGGACTGTAAGGTGAATAGAGTTCTTTGTTGCATCACACAACCAAGATTACATCATAGAATCTCTATAAAAAAACACTAGTTGTAAATTTCTAAATATTCAATTACCTGACTTAATAATGAAAAAAATTACAAGCATGTTTACAATCCTTAGATTTCTAAATAAACAAGAAATAGAATTCCTATTAAAAGACTCTTAATCTTAATAGAAGTAGGAAAACTAATTATAATATTAAAAGACTCTTAATAAAAGACCTAATCTTAATCTTTAAAAAAGTAGGAAAACTAATGATAAACACACTCTATCCAAAATAATTACTTAAGAATCCTAAACAATCCAAATAACTCTTCCATAACCTCTTCTTGTTCCTCATTAGTTTTCAAGTCATACTTGATAAATTTGTGATTATCTACTCTTATGACTTTACTCACAAAATGAGGCCCTTCATGGCCTTTCGTGAGGAACATCTCTAACTAGTTCTACAAAAGGAACGCTAAGGACACTCTCTAACAGTCTCCTTTGGACACTTTCCATGTGATTGGGACACATGTGACATAAATTTAATGTGATTGGTCATGATTTCAAATTATAACAACATTAACTTTAATGTTGTGATATCCCAGTCCTTATTTGGAATAAGTTAGAGAGAATAAGTCCTTAATTGCATTAAATTTAAGTTAGAGCCTTTCAACTCATCTAGAATTAGGGACAAATATATAATATTTATTAATTAGGGGATTACATGTTAATTTAATAAACTACAGTCCTAGTGTCTATCTTAAGGAGAAATTAATATAGTCCAGCTGTCAACAATCTGTTAAAATAAATAACAGGTGGCTGCATGAGAAGTGGGCCAAGTGGGGGCATTTAAGACCCACTTGACCGGGACTTCTTGGACCATATCACTAAATTGGCTATTTTCATATATTTTGCCTATAGCTGGACCAAAAGAGAATGAGAAGGAGAAGGACGGTGCAGATAGGTTAAGCAGACTAGGAGAATATCAAAGAATTCTACCAAGTTCAAGATTTTTGAAGAAAGTGTGTAGGTAAATGTGATTCTTAATTTTAAGTTAAGATTGCCATACAATAAATAAAACAATAGAATAAGCATAGGAAATTAGGCTGCTGCAGTTTAAATTATATAACAAAATAGAGAAATAAATACAGTAGTGAGCTAAATTAGAAATCCCTTATGCTGAAACTGTGAAATCTTTACAGTTCAATTTGTGAGATTAATATGTTATGTGTATCACCTTTTCTGGACTATGTCCGGTGTATCTAACTTGAACACTCCATTATAGCCCATTTCTATTAGTTCTATAGACCATATTAAGTAAACATTGAAAATTGTTATGCATGATTATGTGCTATATATGGTGCTGTTATGCAATTGTCTTAGAACTATGGACAGTTTGAACCCCAGCCTAGGCTTGGGGGTTAGAACAGTGAACTAGTGAATCTCTGCACAGTAGGTTAGTGCTATGACTAGCTCTAGCACCTAAGGTGAGTGCATGCACATTCAATGGACTCCATAATTTGTGTTATCACTATTATGATGTGCTGTGTTTGTGTGATCATTTATGATTGCAACGCCTCAATTTTCTACAATGTTCATACAGCTAAGAATTTAAGGAATTTTTCTGCATAAGATACTAAAGATTAAATTAGCAGCTTAACTTGAGGTTAAGAATTATACTTACTGGGCTGTGAGCTCATGGCGTTATTCTCACCATTTCAGATAGCAGCAGTGAAGAGTAGCTGTTATTCCTAAGAATTTTTGTGGGTCGAGGCCCTATGCAAATTGTAAGCTATACTGCAAATTTCAGTAAGGCAAATCTGTATCTGCCCAAAACCTTCATTTGGCTCTATAATTTTAAACCTATCTGTAATGTATTGAGCCTTGGAATAGTATATAAACTGAATATTTTGATATTATAGACTTCTTTTGTATTTTTCTAAAGGGGATGTTACAAATGTCAACCACTAATCACCAATCACATCAAATTTATGTTTCACGTGGTCCAATCACATGAAGAGTGTTCAAAAGAGTGTTAGAGAGAGTGTCTCTAGCACTGCTCAGTTCTACAAACCTTTAGAGAGCTGCTAAGATCAACATATGAGTTTTGGCTAGAGGAAATAAGATTTTTAGAACATATGGTTTCTAAACGTGAATTGTCAGTTGATCCTTCAAAGGTATAAGCTATTTAAAATCGGAAAGACCATCAAATGCAAGTAAGGTGCTTTTTCGGACTTGCTAGTTATTGCAGAAAGTTTATGGCAGATTTTTCAAAGATAGCAGCACCTTTATAAACAAATGTAGATTTTGAAAAAAAAAGTAAAGGAAAATATGCTCAAAGATTAAAGGAAATGACAATTTTACCTTGTTCCATCCCCAACCATAAAGTTTTCCATCACATGTGAGAGCCATTGTGTGTCTCCATCCACCAGATATCTAAAATATTCAAACCCAAATGTGACAAAAAGAAATCAAGGAATATAAACTAAAAAAACAACCTAGAGAAAAGTATGATTTTTCCACAATAAGTTTAATGAAGTACTAAACTTTGACCGTACTGAATCTGTAACAGTAATAAGATACTTCTAGAAGAATCCTAGCAGGGATATGCCAAAATTGACCTTCGCCGAAAAAGCAGATGCTATAAGAAAAAAATGCAAGAGTATTAACAGATCACCTGAGAAATAAAACTGTCACTTAAAGCTTCCAGCTTATGAGGAGCAAGATGATCCTCAAAATCCCCATGTCCTAGTTGACCATATTTGCTCCATCCATAAGTGTACAATTGACCATTAACAGAGACAGATATGGTATGCCTCCATCCACAGGCAACCATTACCATCTTCTCCCCCTGAAAAGCCAGAAATTTACACTTGATCTTTGGAGAATAAGAGGCCCTTAAACTTCAGAAATATTAAGTCATACTTTATCTATAATGGCTCTCCATATGGAATGGAAAAGAATCTCATTAAATTCTTCAAAGAAGAAAAGATTATCAACTGAATGTAAAAGCAAAGAACAGTAAAGAATGGTCTCTTAATATAAAAAGCTGATTATTATTATTATTATTATTTCTTTTCTTTTCTTTCTTTTTTTTGATCTTTATAAAAAGCTGATTATTAGTAAATCTTAAACCAGTAAATGACACTAGCTCTTTAACATACATCAAGAGATGAAACTTCCTCAGGAACTAAACGGTCATTTCTGTCACCCAAGCCCAAGTTTCCATATTGTCCCCAACCCCATCCGTAAAGTGTTCCATCTTCAGCAACAGCAGCACTGTGTTCAGCTCCAGCAGCAACCATTTTAATAGCGATACCCTACAATAGTGAAACAATATTTAAGTCCATAAACTAATTCAATAGTGCATTCATTTGTAATGGATCAAAAAATATTTTGTTATTTGATGCAACTATGAGTGGAGGGAATTCTTTCCAGAGTTCTTATTTTCTTTGTTTGAATCTCAGCATCTTCCAAGTGTCAGTGCAGACCACTATAGAAGCACAGGAAAAGCAAAGAATAAAGTGGATATACTTATGTTGGCTGAAAAATAGGTGGATATATTTATAACCTGTGGAGTAATTGTCATTAATTATACAACGCTCAAAGTATAGCAATTGTGGAACTTAACATCATTGACAAAATAGGTCTTCTAGGATATTTGATCCTTTGAATTCGAAATCATGTTAAGAAGTTGAGTCTCTATGTTGGATGCCTCAATTTTGAATCCTATGATGGGCAGGGAGGGGTTTGGGAAGGAGATACCCATCATCCAACATACCAAAAAATAAAAAATAAAAAGAAGAACACTTTGGTGAATGAAGCATCCACCGTCAGATTAAATTGATTAAATTAGATAGCCAACAAAGTCAAGAACATTCGGTGAAATTATAGTTTAAACAGTTCCCATTTTCAGGTACAAAGAAATTCATGACAAGCTTAGACTGCTATATGACCTACTTAGACTAATAAAGAAAGGTGGTTGATTTTAAAGGTAGAGGCTCAAACTTCTTAATACTAAAAATGTAATTTAACATGAGTATGGTGCAACATTATGAATGTCTCTTGAAAATAAACAGATAATGTATATATATAACCTGAAAAGCTTGAATCTTTTGAGGCACAAGAGAATCTTCAGTGGTGCCAAGACCAAGTTGACCATTTTGATTCCGTCCCCAGCTTCAAGACAATAAAAGCAAACAAGACCTCAATGATTAAAGCTACCATAAACATACTGAATCACAACAATTTGACAAGTGCTTCAAATGATCTTCTTTTGAATATGGTAAACCTATAATCTATAAAATGCAACCATTTGTTAACATGACTGAGTTTAATTAACATAAATTCAGATGAACTGATATAAGCTTATCAGATGCTACAGTATTGGGAATGACATACCAGGATAATGAAAAAAAGACTCCATAAGTCGACATCACTAAATTTCACCAGCAAATTTAATTGAAAGCATGTTAGTGCATGTGTTCAACAATCAAGAACTTTCATCATCAAGGGCTACCATAAAATAATTGGGAATACCATCTATTAATGGTTTCCCAGAAAATGGAAATCATTAGAAGGACCAAATTGTTTAATCATTCTGGAAGCTATCACATAGAAACAAGTAAAACCAATTAAATAATACAAACTGGACCTTTATGTTCTATGCCTTCCATTTCATTTGATAGAAAGATCCTTATTTCACAATATTTTGAGACCATTTACATTGCTTAAATAAACAATCAAAGAGAGAATTAGAAGATAAGTACAAATTCTGGCCAAAATAAAAGATAAGTTTAGATCATAATAGTAGTGTTCTGACAAAAGCAATCATGCACAGCTCAAATTAGGCATGGCAAGGACCAAGTTACTGGCCTATTTGGGTAGCTATTCTTCCTTCATTTCTTCACTTAGTTCACTCCCATGGAGGAACAACAATTTCAGATTTCCTAACAATGAGGTACTTTGTGGGCCTTCCCCAATTCTTAGGATGGCCTTTGAATGTTTAGAACACCCATTTCCTAACCGATTATTCACTTTGCTATAGGTGCATTATAATGTTGAGGAGCAAGATTGGTCAGTTTTAGCTTGGTCTAGGTGCTCTATATGATGAAAATTAACTTTAAATAAATAAATGAAATAGACTAGATGGCCAAAAAAATAAATAAACTAAGTAGACTAATTAATTGCTTCTGTAAGAAAGCAACCATCTTTTTTTGCTTAGTCATTACATAAACAAACCAAATAGGCCCATAAATGCAAAAAACAATCTAGCTGTTGAAACAAGAAATTTAAGATTTAGGAAATCCTCTACCTCTGCACCCCACCCTCCATTGTCACAGCTAAACAATGGCTATCTCCACAGGCAATTTGCTTTATCCTCAAACCATGTAATGCTTTTACTGGCTGTGGAGTGAAAACATCACTAGAATTGCCATGTCCTAATCTCCCAAAGTCACCCCTGGCAGCAATTAGTAGAAGAACAATGCTTATAGAGGATAAGTCAAAGAAACAGAGCAAAAATAGAATATGTCACTAAAACTAATAAATTTGTTGAAATCCCCAAAATAATAGATGTTTGCTATTCTTTGTTTTCTATTTTAGATTTTCCAAACCACTTCAGATTTTCATGCTGGGGAAACAGGCACTCAAGCACCAAAGCAGACTACTTGTTTGTTAGAAGTAACTGTTGGAAGATTTGATAAAGTGCAGAAGATGAAAAACACACCATCCCCAACTATAAACTTCTGCATGTGATAAAGAATATGCAGTTGTATGATCAGCTCCACAAGTAACAGATACAATTTCAAGGCCATCTAAGGCACTCAATTGTGTTGGAGAAAGTCGATCCTCAGCATCACCATGGCCTAATTGCCCATCCTCTCCCCGTCCCCAAGAGCAAACAACATTTCCAGCTGTAAGTTATAAATCCAAAATCATACTCTTAACCATCACAAATCAGATGCAATTTTTTTATAAAAAAAAAAGTTAATGATATTTTAGGAACAACCTTTGAAATGCATATATACAGAGTTAAATGATAACAATTACAATTTGCCAAACAACAATTAAGAATACTCAGTGAAACTTCTATGTCTGGAAGTGAATGGAAGCAAATTATTAGGCCAAAAAAAAAAAAAAATGATTGATCAAGTTAATGGAAGCAACTTGATAAAAGGATTGATCAAGTTAATAACAGGATCCTGAGTTTAGCTGCCAGCCGTACTAACGATTTTAATCAAGTATGACTTAGTTAAACCCTTAACTATTATTCTTCAGGATTATATAATGCTATAAAAATCAAAGATGGGTAACAATAGCAAGAAAAATGTAAATAAGATACGACATCAATTAAAAAGAACCAGGAAGATATTGAGGTATCCAAGGAAAGTTAAATCAATTTTTTTGGTTAAATCAATTAATTGTGGTTAATATAAACAATCAAATAAAAGTCCAGATACTCGCTGATAAAAAAATAAAAATAAATAAATAAAAGTCTACAAACTCATCGGTGCCAAAACCCTTTTCATCATTCATCATTACCATTAGGTAACCATTCCCTATATAAATACATTAAAGTCAAAGCTAGTTGAACGTAAGATAACGCAGGACTTCGTCCTAATTAACACATTGGAAAATGTCTAGAGAGGAAGCTCTCCAAAAAGACAAGAGTACATGATTCAACATTATCGCTTAAGCCCAATTTCCCGAGTTTCCCAAGATAATGGAAAGCAATGGAGAACAACAAAGAGGAGGACGCATACGCGCATATATAGAAATAGAAAATGAACATGTAATTAAAAAAAGGAGAAGATGAGAACGAGGACATACAAAGAAGGGCAACAGAGTGGCTAGCGCCAGCAGAGATGAGAAGAACCTGACGAAATGGGCCTGTGATTTCACTCAGACTTACTTCCTCTCCTTCCATCCTTTTTGTATATCTGACAAAATTTCTTCCCGCACCCTTGATGTGGGGAACAACAAACTCACGCCCACTATCTCTCTGAACCCCGATGAAAGAGAAAGAATGAAATACCCTTTTCAGTTCTCAACAAAAAGAATTCAACTTGGTTTTGTTTTTCTCTCTTCCCGAACCAAGAAGTAAAGGAGTGATAATTGAAAACAGAAAGGGATGGTGGGCAGCGAGCTTTATGGCGACAGAGATGGAACATGTGCCAATAGTGCGTGCACAGTAACACTATATAGAAAAGAAAAGCAGAGAAAGGACTACAGTCATTTGGAGTAATTCAAGTTTCTTAGCGACGAAATTATGGAGGACAGGTAAACCAGAGAAGACGGCATTTAATTGGCACAGGGTGGTGGGGTCCATTTTTTCCTCTCATTTACAGCTGGGTTTTCGCGGGCGGCAACCTCCACCACACAACGAAACAGGTGGAGTAGGTACTACAGCAAAGTTGTCAAATTTTGTACCGTGCCGGCCGGTACATCCGGCACATACCGATTTTACACTTTGTCCGGTACAAATATAATTTTGGATTAATCAAATTTCGGATGTTTTCGGTTAAATTGGGTGTACCGGCAGGGATTGCTTATAGCGGCCAGTGGGTAAAAATTTAACCGGTACAATTTCTCATAATTTTGGTAGGATAAAGCATTTGTTTAGTCCTTCACATATTAACTTAACTTTGAACTTTTTAACTCTTGATCTTATACTATAAATTTATTAGCTTCTAAACTTAAATCTTTGAATATTTCAACTTTTAGACCAATCGAATATGTTATCTCTCTTAAAGTTTATAAGATTCATTATAAAAAATTAAAAAGATAATTGTTTAGTTCTAAAAGTTTAAAAATTAAAAAAAAAATTGATGAACAACTTTGTTATATACACAAGAATAATATTAAAATTTGTAATCAAATAGAACGATTAACTTAATAAAAAAAAGAATTCTAAATCAAATTAAAAAAAATTCTAGGTTGAGTTAAGACAATAAGTTCAAGACACAAAAAAAATACACCAAAACAATGGAATTGTGCAATAATACAATCCACATGGCAAATTTAGAGAAGTCATTAGTCTACTCTACTAAAAAATTTGACATATCAATTGAATAATCATATAATTATATCATTTTGACATGTCAATTGTATAATCATATAATGCTATCATTTGAATTTATTATTTTGCTAATTTACTTTGGATTTTTTTTATCCTTAACTTAGAACAAATCCAAATTTGAATTAATTTAAATTAAATTAATTTTTGTAGAACTCCAAGTGATTTTAATGATAACAAAACTCCATAAAATATTTAATGAAATTGAGCTTAAATGTACAATAGAAAACTCCCAAAATGCATCAAGGAAAAGTTTGGAAAACTATAGTATTGGGTTAAAGAGTCAAACATAGAAGTCTATATTTAATTCTCAAGTAAGAAGGATCAATTCTCCATTGTTAAATTCTCTATGTGCTGAAAATAAAGAATAGCTCAAATCAAAGGGAGAGTCAAATATAGAGTTGAAGATTCGTCTATTGACTACCTAGATTCGACTCACAATGTCACGCCCCAAAATCGAGAGCTAAACAGATGCAATACACTTGTGAGAGGATTCCACAAATGCACAAGGTTCAAAACTTGTTAAATTCATAACTAACAATCCACATAAATTTAGATCAATATCTCAAAATAAAATCTAAATTGCAAAGGAATGATCTATATCTCCAAATCTATGTCCAAAATACAAATGGCTAGCCTTTTAGCTTGTCACTTCCCTTGGTTTCCCATGTCTCAAGTCTCACTATTTGAAATGGGGGACGAGGAAAAAAAATATGTGAGATAACTCAGTAAATAAAATATGAACAGCCTTCACTGAAATTTAAAGCATGCTAAGAAATTTAAAGCATGCCAAATAAACATTTAAATTTTAAATAGGAAGAAAATCTCAGTTCTAAATCATTAATGCAGAGCAAAACTCAATAGTGGTCCTCTTAATTAGTCATGGCCAGTGTACTCTCCCAACTAGCTAGATAACAGAAATACTAGTGTAGTTTCCCATTGGCTAGATAGCAAAAATACCAGTGTACTCTCTTACTAATAGGATGAACTAGCTCTACAGAAATATATGTCGACATGTGCCAGTGTTTAACTCCCACTAGTAAGATAGCAGAAATACATGACCATATTAGAGACAAAACCCCGTAAGAGTTCAATAGGAAAATTCATCATTTAAAAATATGCAGAAGTTAATAGGAAATCATGACTTACAAACCAATTTCAGATCATCAAAACAATCAAGTATATTCCACATATGCATGCTCAACTCAATAAAATAATAACAATTTCATTTCAAATCAGTCATGCTCAAGTGTTAATAAAAACTAGGTTTAGGTCCTACCACCATCTCAAAAAGTAGTTTAAAATATCTTAAAATCCAAGGGCATTTACCATAGTTTTACTTACCTCACCTTGTACGTATGTAACAAGCAAAGAATTCATCAACTCAAGGCACCTGACGTGATTTAAAACTTATACCACATCAATAAATAAATAAAATCACAATGTACTCCATATAACTAATTTGATTTATAATTACAAAATCAAGTTTCTAACACAAGGAATAATTTCCTCCTACACCTCTTGATCACCTCTACCTCTACCCTTTGAAACCTTACTAACATATATTTATTTATATGCATAATCATACTTAAATATGCTTAAAACAGCTCCAAGAGACCCAACATGTTGCGGGTTTACCAAGAAGATTTTGTTGGGCAGAACACAATGGAAAAATGTGAGAAACTAAGCTCTTTACCATCCTAGACACTAGCAAAAATATTAGGCGGCAAAGTGGGAGTTTTTGTCATTTAAAACAGTCCCAAAATGTTTGGAAAAAGCTCTAAACAACAAGGATTTTTTGGGCAAAAGACAACAGCAAAACAAGATAGACTACAAGCTAAAACTAGACAACATTCGAACAAAAATGCAATAGCAAAAAGGCAACCAAAACAAGGCAATAATAAAAGGTTTTAGAGCAAAAAAACAACAGCTAAAAATTTAGTAAAATCATGATGCAATATGGCAGTATGTATAGTGGGAATAAAGCAAAAAAACATAGCAAATTTTTGGGTGCTTTTGAGAGCAATTCTAGTCAAGTCTCGAACTAGAACTTCTAATAGAATTCATGCTCAGAAATTGACTAATCTGGGTTGAGTGGTCAACAGATAAATTGTAAACCTATGTTTTAACGTTCTATGGCCTCAAAAATCAACTTAATCCAACATTTACAGAAAAAGTTATTGCCAAAAAACTGACATAGGGTTAGGTTGCTAGTTAAGTCCATCAGCGAGAATCAAAATTGCAGCAAAGTTTTTACCATGAAAATAGCTTAATTGGGTTAAATGTCCAACATAAAAGTTGTAGGGCTATCTTTTAGCTTTCTATAGAATCAAAAAAATGGACTTAATCTGATAACTGCAGAAGGAGTTATGGGCAAAATACTAAAGCAAGGTCATGCTATTAGAATTTTTCCAGCATAAAGAGATCAGATTCTGCTAGTGCTTGATTATGGGCAAAATCAAGGAGGAAACTATAAAAACACTCCTAAAATTGAAAACCCTAAATGATTAGAGCTAACCCACTTCAAATCAAAGATGAAAAGATGAGCAATGTGGCTAATTTCTTACCAAAAAAGTTGCAAGAAGAACACCCATCGGGCAATCCATCACCGACAAGAAAGAAGGAATAGCTAGCAAAAATTCTTGATTCGAAGAAGAAGAAGCATTATAGGGGGAATAGAAGGTTGAAGGCTTTAAGGGTTTTGGATTTAGAATGAAAGATGAGAGGAAAAGCCAAAAAGAGAAGAGGGAAGCCCAAAAAGAGAAGGGAGAAGAATAAAAGGGAATTAGGTTTTCCTTTCCCTATTATTTTGTTCGTCCAACCTTTTTCCTTTTTTTCTTTTTACTGCTATCATCCCCAAAGATTGAAGAGTTAGACAACTTGGTCCTCTATTAAAATCCCTTTTTAGATTAGTCTTCTCATACATAAATTAATTAATTATTCAACATAAGTACTCAAAATTTTGGGGTATTACACACAAGAAAGGAAGAGACGAATTTGAATTCCAAAGAGTCACAAGAAGACTTAAGGTGTATGGCATATTTGACTCTCCAATTGTAGAATTTACTCTTGGAGCTCAATATTTAACTCTGATTTCAAGATTTAACTCTTGGCCTAGATAAAGAAAAACTAGCTAAGTCCTAGATTTTCTTGAAGAATCAACTCTCAATTTGAAGAGTTAAATCTAGGTTTTGTAGATTCGACTCTTGGGTTGTAAATTCAACTTTTAATTATACAATAATGGCTAATTTTTTGAAATTGATGTGTCTATAAAGCATATTTGGGTACCAAATGGCTAATTTTTACTTAAAAAGTATAAATATGGTTGGTAAGAGTATTGAAGAGCTTTGTAGACACTTTCATTGAATATCTTTTACCTACCAACTTGAATCTCTTATACTTTGACTTGTTTATGTAATTATTGAGTGATCTTAGTGTCACACCCCAAAACCAAAATTCGAGGCGCGACAGACGCCGTGCACTCGTGAGAAGGTCCCACAAATGTACAAGGCTCGAAACTTATCATACTGTACTCTGATACCACCAAAATCTGAAGATCAAATCTTTAAAATTTTCTCTCATATCATAAAATCTCCAATACACTCTAGTTTACAAGATCATGATTTATT